GCTCCCACTCGCCTACCCACAGTCAGCAGTGTGATGCTATGCTGTTTCAAAGATGTTTCTTCCCTCCTTTCTGGCAAAAAAAAAAGCTGATGAGACATCTCACATTGCCAAAAATGAATGTTTTTTCTTTTTGTAGAGAACACAGTAATCCTTTAGCCACTATGTACTAACAATGCAGAAATGCATACATTAAAAATCATAGAGGACTCACGCTCAGCAGGCATGGCTTTGTACCATATGTTTAATCTGACATGAGGTATTAGGCTTCTGAAAGAGAATTTGGACAGTACTCTGCCTGCTTGAAACATGAACATTCAGTTAAATTCAGCCATGAAGCTTCCTTACTGGACTCTTTATCCTACTGGTCTGGTTACTTGCTGAGCCCTACAGCACTTCTAATTTTACTGATGAGAACTTCTGTGCATATGGTGAATTTTCTATATTCTAACCCTGTTCTGGATTGAGGCTGACATTAAGCAATGCAGAATCTCCAGTTTATCTGGAACACCCATATCCCAAAATTTGCCTCTGAAAGGCAGGCCCCTTTCTGAATGCCAGGTGTGAGCCAGCATATTTAGCAGAACCCCTAAGGCAGGTACCACCACACCAGAATTTTTACTTCAGTTATGGAAATATTTAAGATAATTACCTCAAATATTAATAAATACTAAATGAGTTTGCAGGAATCAAGGAGAATTCCCCTTCTTCTCCAGTGTTAGATTGGAATTAGAGGTGTGAGGGATTTACACTTCAGACTTAGCCACCAGAAACATTAAAGGCCCAATCATCAGCTCTGAGCTAATGATACTAGAAAGGCTAAAATCTACATTAAAAAGACCAAAATTACACTTCCTGTGTTGAGCCTTTCTTAACAAAAGCCTCAGTCTGTCCATTAAGCAGATACATTAAGAAAGCCAGCTGTTTTCTGCTGCACCTAATTATTATTCCACATAAGTGCTCCTGGAAGGTGGAAAGGACATCACAGAAAAGCATCAGGAGACAGACAACACTTCTTCCTACCCAGTAGTTCATTTTAAACTGAGATAGATACTTCCTTAAATCAGTATTAATTTAAACAGCTGTACTTCTTGCCGTGTGATATGCATGGTGATGTTTTCTTGGAGGCACAGTGGATTGACAATTTAGGCTCCACACTGTGCAATGGTGGGCACTTGGGAGAGCGTACTGGAAAGTGAGATAAGCTTGGGCTTCATTTGTATGTGCTCAGGGAGAGCCTCAGCCACAGGGCAGCAAGTGGAACCAGTGATAATGCTACTTGCTAAACATTAGCACACAGATAGAACCAAACCCAACACCAAGCTGCTCCCAGCAAAGGGTATCACAGGAGAAGTAAAACTCCAGCTCTACCACTGAATTAGAAAGCGACTCCAGTGCACAGCTCCCAACAGCCGTACTGTGAGGGGACTGAGAATAGCTCCATGTGTTTAAATGGACATCACAACACCGTAGTTAATATTCACCAGTTTAAGTGTAAAGTTTGTTCACTCACCTTCATCCCGTTCATCTGTCCCATGCAGAGGAAGTGGCTTGTAGAGATTATCCCATCTCCATCCTTCAGCTCTGATTCATTGATCTCCTGCGGCTCACCGGCACATAACACACCCTAACCCTCACCAACCAGAGGGTGTTTGGGCCAGCACACCAGCTGATAAAAGTAGAACAATCCCAAAGCTGGTCTGCCTCTATGAAGGTACTGCTAAGTAATAGCAAGGAGTATTCTATCAGATTGTCGTATTCAAATACAACTTCAGATTTTGTAGAATTTTGGGCTCGGGATTTATTTGAAGAGAAATCACACTCACAGCTTCAGATAGGGATTCAATGACGTGTAAATCACTGAAACCAGAAAAGTTCTAAAAGTCCTAGAAAGGGCAAAACTTCTCAAGAAAAGATGGATCTTCAAGATTCTCCAATGTTGGCCAGTGGCTCCCCAGCCCTCCCATTTGGCAGCAAGATTCACAAATCCAAATTTCCTCTGCCAAATGAAGTCAGAGGTTTGTAATGCATTTTAGCATAGGCAATCTCTGCATACGCAAAGTGCGAGAAAAATAAGCTTTGTAAGTTCTCCTGTTTTAGCAAGTCAGAGCAAAAGCACCATTTCTGTATGTTAATTTGAAAGATCACTTAACTATGGACCTATAAGAATTTCCCCCTTGGTATTACTTACAAGGTACTTAAACCCATTTTTGTTCCATAGCCCTTCCTCAACCCCTTTGTTGTGGTTGTTTTTTAAATCTCATGATAAATCCAAACATAAAAATGTGCATTGAGCATGATGGTTTGACTCAGTTGGACGAAGCAGAGATCTTGTGCAAGAAGGGAGGAAAAGCCTTTTTCTAAAAGTCAGCACTTCTCTCATCTTTCTGCTTTTTTTTTTTACTTGAAACAGAGTGAAATGCCTACACCTCTGTGAAAATTCAGCCACAAGCAGTGACTGCAAATGGTGCTTGTTTCTTTTCATTCTTTGCTTGGTTTAGTTTTATACATATGTTTATAATGGGGGGATAGAGATGGGAGAAGGAATAACTGTTAGATGGCAGCTTTCCTTCCTTCTGTCCCGTCACCTTACAAATTTTTCAGTATTTTTAGTCTGTGAACCAGAGGAATAAACTTAAACTATGTAAAACTAGAGAGTCTGACTGATGCTGAGGTGCCCTTACACACCCTTAGCCTTCTAAAAGCCTTTTAAAATGAATTGTTGCTGTCAGAGTTAAGCCTATGGAATGCATCAGCCAGAGAACTAACTGGATTTTGCAAACTTGGCAGTTGCCACGTGTTTACAGCTGAGTCCCCTAGTGAGAACAGCAACAGGACAGCAGGTGAGCATACTTTGCCTCTTTGTCATTGACACCCCTCATGCCATTCACATAGGACTCCAGAATACACTATTTTAATTAGCAAAGCTTGTTGTAAAGTAAACAACACAAACACTCCTTATAGAACAGCCACGGTCTCCCCTGCTTGACTTACATACAGGCTTTTTGGCAAGGAAACATTCAGACAGCATGAGGTTCACCTCTGTGCATGGCCCCTGGGCAGCCCACGCACCGCCTCAGCTCCCACGAGCTGCTCTGGGCAGGAGCATGCAGTGTGTGGCATAGGGATTCATACACCTTTGCTCCAGAAAAAAACAGTCCGAACCCACATCTGAGAAGACCAGCAGTTTTCCCCCATAAGGTCATAAAGGTGTAATATAGGCGTCATGCATAGAGTACATACCATGTTTAACCGAGTCCTGTCCCTGCGTGACTTTGAGCCCCAGTGAGTACAGATGCACAGCACATTTAATGAAGCCCTCAATCAATATGGTTTGCTGCATTGTGCTGTTTATTGGGAGTGCTGCAAAGTCATTCAGCCGACAGGAGCCAGGGCAGCAGTAAGAAGTGTCCTCAAGAATAGCTCTGACAGGATTCCTTCCAACACACGAGGAAAATGAAGTTCCCATTGTGGTTTGGTAATTGCCAAATGAATAGAAATCAGAAATAATTGATACAACATTGACCCATAAAACAGGGATGACAGAGGCAAAGTTCTCCCCTGTACTCTGCACAGGGAACAACAGACAATCAGAAACAACAGGGTAAGAACAGAACAGTACAGAAATAAAGTTGGATCCTTGCAGGCGTCACTACTGCAGTCCATTGGTGCTGACACTGCTTTCAGCCATCACCGTTTAACACGATGTGACACATCTCCACTTCCAGTCTAGGTTCTCAACTGTTGATTTTCTTTTGTTGGATGAGTTCTTTTAGTTAGTTTTTTTTCCTTCTTCTTCTTCTTTTTTTCTTTTTAAAACTATGTTTATCAACACCGATACATTACAGACCGTGTTGGTTATACTCTGAAGTCTGATCATGCAGAACTACAGGCGGGTGCAGCTTAGGTCTTGCTACAGGACGGACATGGCAAGGTGAACAGTTGGTTTGCTCATTAAGATCTGGAGCTCTGTTACTGTTGTGGCTTTAACGCATACTGGCCAGAAGTCCCACTTACTCCATTTACTAACTATACATGTTTCTATATGTACAATGAACCCTCCAGCACCCTCCTTTGCAGCATGTGGCTGACTCAGGAAAAGCTCAGAGGTCAACCGTGTTGAGGCATACAGTGGCCTTATTGTAAAAGGTCAAACAGAAGTCATGTGTTGATTACATATTAGTTACAGAAGAAAAAAAATGTCCATACAACTATATACATCATAAATATCTTGCTTTCCAGAAGACAGGAATGGCCCCATTCAGTGAAAATTAGTAAAGAGACAGGTGTACCTGTCCAAAATGACAAGCATGGGAGGGATACACTTACTTCCCAAAATGACTGTCCTCCTTCAGTATGTGCTTTTCAGCTTTTCACTCTCAGCTAAGAAGGCACCAATAGCCTCAGGTGGAGTTTTTCAACATTCTTTTGTCGAATCAAACCCTCTTTAGAACTCAAACTTGCTATGGGTCAAAGAGCCTGAACAAAAATGAAGTCAAACCATTCATTTCTTGCAATCAATAGTTAATTTAAAAAATTAAAAAAAAAAAATCACAAGGAAGAAAAAAAAATGGCTGCACTGGCAAAGTTGCGAATACGTTCAGCACTCAGTTCCATGAACAACTCTATTTTCCAGCTCATCAGTGAAGGTGACACACTCACTAATTGCCCTGCGCCCCCAAACATCTAAGTGAGACATTACTGACTTGTGGAATATTCAGACCTTGTGCACAATGATTTTCTTTCAGCATGCATGTGTATGTGAACAAGGTCACTGTGAGCTCGCAGTCAGCGAACCTTCATGCCCTTGTGAAGGTGGTGGAAGTTCAATAAGCACAGACCTCAGCTCCTTGAAGATGTGCTGCTATGTCACAACTACACTCTTTATCCACAATGAGAATTTGGGTCAAATATGAGTACAACACTGGTGTTCTAAAAATCACACCTGCATGCACTTCTCTTTCTTTCACACACATACACAACTTACAGGTCAAGTAGCTGCCTTATTTTTTTATTTTTATTTTTATTTTTTTTTTGCAGATTACTAAAAGGAAAGGCTGATTCTCCCCTGCAGGTTTCCTTCCAAAGTGCTCTCCCTGGAAGCACACGGAGTTTGCTGGGAAATGCATTGTTTTCATCTCACAAACTTTAGGGGAAAGAGATTTTCATTATTCTGTACGCTTGAATTCACACAAAAATTTGAAACGATGGTAAGCATAAAAAGAAACACATCTGAAATTAGAATTGTTGATTTTGATAACATAAAATCCTGCAACATTCATCATATAAGTGGCTTTTAAAGGTTATTTCAAATTAAAATATTTCTATTCTGTAGCGATGAAATGTGCTCAGCCTGACTCCCTTTGGCATTTCTAACATGGACTACTGGCATATTTCCGTGAGCCAATAAGTTGGGGGGAAAGAAGAACACAGTCCATATCAGTGTCGTGGCAGTGTTTTGAAAAAAATTCCTAAAGGCACACTGACAGATTTCATCTCTTCAGGATTACTAGCCCAAATCTTAAAAGTAAAACTATGTAAATGAATGTAAATACCTGTGATTGGTTTCTGTTATAAAAGTACAAGAATGGTGTAGTGACATTACCACTTGGCTCGCATGACCTCCTGAGGTCAGCCAGCATCAGGCAGGAACTGATCATTGCCAGAGGATAAACAGTAGTGCTGTAGGGAAGCACTCACCAGGCTTTATGTTTCTTTCTTTTTCTTTTTCTTTTTCTTTTTTTTTTCGTCTTCTTTTTCTTTTTTTTTTTACAAGTTATAATACTTGCACTCCAATCTGAGCTCTCCTTTATATGCTACAAATGCCTGTATGTATCCATGCCATGGAAATCTGAATAGTGTGGGTGGGTTCCCAGCATTAGCATCATTCAAATATTTCAGTCTGTAACCAATCCAAATAAACACCCGAAATCACTGAAGACACGTTACATACTGATGGAATATTTATACACTATTCTGGCTGACGAGTGAGCATCTGAAGAATGATGTCAAAATTTACCGCTGGACTGAAAACACATGCAACCTTCCATCAACTCAAAGTAAATCAATGCTCAGTTAAACTCATCAGTAAAAAGAAAAGGGAAGGAAGGACGTTTTTCAGGAGCAACTCTTACTGAAAAACAAGTGCTGCCATTGCTGCACTTCTTCCAAGAGTCTGATGGCCGTTTCAGTGCCTCAATGCTTTGAAAAAACTGCCATTACACCTCTGTGTTACCAATTCTTTACATCTCTTTACCTACAGCTGCAAACTTGAGAATGAGGTGAAAATTGATCCTGAAGTCATATGTACTGACCATATAATGGAAGAGGTAGCTTTGGAAGGTCACTGTGAAGGAGGAAAAAAATACATCTGCTATGGTCACATTGCACAGAGCTTTGGGATAGTAAGGAAAGGACCTGAAGAGAAGGGTCTCCAAATTCCAGGATCTGTAAGGAATATCCTGTCTGCACCTTAGGATAGCTACAGATTCCACCAGTGTCATCCATACTGGAGGGTACTCACTCTCCTGTAGGATAAAGTTGGCAGCAACAACCCACAGACACAGAGGAAACACCCTATGTGGCAGCCACCATGCAGCGTGGCCAGGTCACATGAGGACCAAGACCAAAAGAGACTATTGCTTTGTGTTATCAATGGCTTTTTTTTTTCTGGTGTCCAATGTGGACAGCCCTAAGTCTCCTCCTGCAAACAGAGCTTCTTAAAGAGGAGATGAACTCATTTACTGCCAAAACCAAAGGCAGCCATTGTTATGGGCCCATTTCAGCAAGGCACTTCAACATGCGCTTGTGTTGAGCACTACTGAACACAAGACAGAAGCACGTGCTAGTTGTGAAACTTGATAGGCATCCCTATGGTAGCCACCAAACATTTGTGCAGCACTGCTGTTAGAAGAATTGGTTACTGGGAACACAGCAGTATACATTCTGTGCTATAGGCTCATTCATTGCTCATCTGCAGAATATATTCTGTGCTTCCCAGGTTGCTGCCCAGCAGTCCTGAACCCAAACCAGACCAAATTATGCTATGGGACTCACTGTAAAACATGGGAGATCTGCAAGCACCTGTCCACTGTAAGTGGCTCTTCTGCTACCGCATCTGTCACATCTCCATAACATGGCTGGTGATGAACAGCATATTCCTCATGCTAACATTTGTCATCTGTTCAATTTTTGCCCTTTCTCTTACATGCAGCTCTGCCTCTTAGAGATTTCTTTGGGGTGAGGGGTCAAATAACACACTAGAATGGTACAAACTAAGGAATGGGGAAAAGATACTGGGTTATCTAAGTACTATTTATAGGTATGATGATTAAAATCTGGAGGTGAGACATTTCATTATTGCTAGGAAGTCACTGTGGTGTTATTGCCTTCACGCTTACAAAGCATTGCTGTTTGCTTTGATTACTTTTATGATCACTGGCACTGAAGTGAGCATCACATCACCGAACAACGACTTGATGCTTCATGGCTTAAGAAAGAATATTGCTAACTCTTTTAGCAGTGGTAAATTATTGCTTTCACAGTTACTGTTATGAGTTTTTAGAAAATCATAGACCTAATTGTATTTTTTTTTTTCCCCCAAAGATCAACCAAAAACATCCCTGGAGGAAAAAAAAACCAAACCACATCATGTCCTACTACAGCACAGATCTGCTACCAGGTCTGAAATGACTTTATATGCATTTATATCTTCCTTCCTCAGCACCCTGAAGAGAAGATTCATTTCTTGTTTTTTTCCCTTTGAAGAAAATCTGACCTGCTACTCCAATTGTTTTCTGGCTCTACAGCAGAACAGCAGGTGTGTGAGCCACCCAACAGAGCAGCTATATTCCAGGAGAACGGAAGAGAATTTGGAATACTTTATAACTGGTAAATTTAAAGTATCCAGTAAAATATTCTAAACAGTTTTTCTTGTTGACTTTTGGAAAAACATTTCACTTCTGTGGACCCACTCTGTGTATCTTTTCCATGTAACACAGCTGGTAACATTTCCAAGGAGCTGGATAGTTTGTCAAAAGCAAAGGAATGGCCAAAGATACCCAGGGAAGGGTGGTCTTTGCTCAGTGATGGAGATCCCTGCAAGGGAATGACGTAAAGGAGAAACCATCTCTTGGTCACAAACATGCTGAGGAGTGCTGCAGATATCCCAATGCTGAACTCAGTAAAAACAAAAAAAAAAATACAAAAATAAACATCAAATGTCCTTTTGACTGTGGTCCGTCTGTTCCCCAAACTTATAATGTTCCCTAACACACAAATATATCTTGAACTCACAGTAGTAGTTCCTCTATAAATAAAGAGAATTCACTGAATATGGACAGAAGAAGTTTGCTTCATGATATAAACCTTTCTGGGCATACACATGCACAAAGAATCTCCATTCTTGCTCCCCATGCCTTGCAAAAACACATGATGTGCTTCCTTCAACCTGCTCCTAGCTGAGTGTATCTGCTCTAAAAATTGGGAACTCTTCCCAGTATTCATAGACACTGTGTGAAGCTCTGCAGCACCATCCTCCAGCACAAACTGACTTTAAGTATATATACAGCTATCAGCAAAAACACTGTGCTACATCTTCAAGGTTCTGAGGGAGCCACAGCTCAGTGTGGTTATTTTCACTTCCACAAATCATTGCGCAAGCTGCGCAGCCTCATCCATGACCAAGGACACGACATATACATGGGTAACAGCACCCCTGTATGTATGCTGCTCACCTGAAATGGGCCATGTAGTTGCGTGGTGCACTGAGTATGAGTGCAGATTGATGTGTGCCTGCAGGCACACAGCTCCACACACAGCCAGAACTCTACTGGCGTGTGTGTGTGATCTTCATGCATGGGGAAAAAAAGTGTGTGTATCCCTCTCTGCAAATCCCTAACCGTATATCCATACCTGCCCCAGGGAGCAGGAGACAACAGAGCAGAGTGAGGGCAGATCCGCACTGGTGTGTTGTGGAGTGGCACTGCGCACCTTGTCATGCCAGCGTTACAGGACAGCTGTGGGTTGCTGGTTTTGCAGCCATTAATTTTGCATCTTGTAAGGGTGGAAAAAAAAAGGATCTGAAGAATCCTTTTCCTCCCCCACCCCAGAAAGCATCATCAGAAGACCGAAGCAGAGCAACTATGAGTTACATACACACTTGAGCTGAGCTGCATTACATAGCTCTGTAGGAGAAGCAGGCGGAAAAGATTTGTTTGTTTCGTTTCAATCTGTGCATTTTTTTCCCTCCGTCCCTTAGCTCTGTTGCTTTCCCTCTGGACACCGTCACCCCCTGAAGAAGGCGGGGTTCCGCAGGCAGGCGGCTAGTCACCTGCAGCACCCCAGTGGCCCCGCCGACGCTTCCAGGCTGCTGTCCGTGTCGGACGCCAGCGTCTGATCCGTGGACATGGAGGAGATGTCGTTGGCCGATGAGGATGGGGGGAGGCTCTCGCTGCTGTTCACTGCTGCACCTGTGCTACGAAAATGAACACCACCGTGATTCAACCCGAAACCCCAGAACCTCTCACAGGTCAAAGAGCGGAGAACGCAACCCTGTGGCGATGTTCAGAGCGTTCTGAACAACACAAGCAGAAAATGGGCCCTACAGGCTTCAGACATTCGGTAATATCAGATATTTTACCCAGAAACTCTCCCTCTCTGCAGTCTCTTTGGAAGAGTTACAGTTCATGCCATGTCCTATCCCTCGGTTTCTTACCACGCCATCTTATTTTGCTTTACATACCATCCTTATCACTCCTTATCAGTCTCCTTAGCATTACCAACACCCAACAGTCAGATGACAGCTGCGACCATGTGAGCACCAGCATGAGGACTTAATGAGCAAACAAACAACAAAACCCAACCAACCAAACACAACAGCTCTCCAATACATGGGCTGGTATGAGATCATCTGGTGGCAGTGCAGACACGGGTGTGGGGAGGCAAAGCCATTTTCTCTCTTAGTTAAGGACTTGGTGCCCAGGCCCAGGATTTTGGTTGTAACAGCATTTTTGTGCATCACAGTTCACTTGTCCTCTGTAAAATGACAGCATTAACCTTCACAATCATTTTGACTCTGCAAAATGAGGAACCTCTATGAAGTTATCAGTAACACAACTAAACATCAATCATATCCATAAATATTATTTACCATTATTACCAGGGCAGCTCAGTCCCAAATTCCAAGCAGACCTCATTTCAGGCATTAATATGGCACTGCAGTTCCATTAATAAAGCTCAGCCCAAGTTGCCTTGAAACCTCTGAAATTAGTCTGTATAACTTCTGGTGCACCCAAATGCTTCAGCTATTCCTGTTTTCTTTCTGTCAGCACAGAAAACACATCCATGCTATTCACTGGGGCTGAGTACCTGAAGGAGATGGCTGTCCTTTTACTACGCCATTTTTCGTTTTTTCTTCAGAATTCATTACTTCTTTGTAGATGAGTTCTGGAACAGAGAATTGCAACAGTTACAGACAAGAACTGTGCCCGTGATCAGCAACAACAAAATCCTCTGATGAAACAGTGCCCCCCATAGGCCAACACTACGTTGTCCTCATAAGTCTTGACAGCTCTTTTCATGTAAAACCTCTCTCTCTTCCATCATCCTCTCCTCTACTGCAAGCTCTTCTTGGAGCTGAATTGAGACAAACAGGGCTACACTAGAACACATTCATTGTTTCACGCTGCTTTACCTAGAAACGGAGCAGTACAACTTTGTCTGCTATAAGAAAAATGATGGCGAACCCTCCTGTTTTCTAGGAGGAAACTTAACATTTTGATGAAACAATGTAATCCGCACTGATAATGACAGTACTTAGGGTATTTGTATCTGTGAGGGCTGCTCCAAGAATAAGGTCATGCAGATTCACAAAAGCTGCATGCAGGCTGACCTCATCACTTGTGAAAATGCAGAAGTAATGGTAGTGATTATGCAGAAAAACAGCATTTTTTTGGCTGAGAATTTGCTCTAGAAAATAGTGTTACTGTGCTCTTTGTATCTGCTGTCGTTTCCAAGGGAAAGGCAAGGAAGCAGTGACCTATACAATATTTCAGAGTGACCTATACAATATTTCCATCATCAAGCAGCAGTTCATAGGGTTGGGTTTGGTTCTTGCTGCCAGAGGAGTTACACTGATGCACGTGGGGTGGGACCTCTGACTTCTCCACCCAACTCTGAGCTGTGCGCACCTTTCCACTCCTCAATGGTGTGCTCCCGCTCGTCCAGCTGCTTGTCATAGATCTGGGGGGGTGGCTGCAGAAGAGAAACAAAACTACTCAGTACATTTTTCACTATACCATAAATAATTAGCACTACTTAGGTAAAGATAAATTCTCCTCTCCCGCTTTGTTCATCATCCCATATGTGCAGAACACCCAGAAACATGAATATTATGTGTCATCATCCCTGGAAATCAGCTCTTAAAGCGGACAGTGGTTCTCCCTCATCCTCTTTGGAACGTGAGGCACAGCTGTGCTGCAATGGAATTTGGTCAGTGCTACCATCATTCTGCTCGTGCTGAGCCCGGAAATCCCATACACAGAACTTTCGCACAGGCAAAGGACAATCAGAGCACCAAATGGACATCAGACTAAAATATTTTGCACTGACTGTGTATTAAATACCATAGCTGAAAAGTAAGCAATCTTTTGGTTTGCCTGGGCTGCACTGAGTGAAGAAGAATTGTTTTGGGCCACATATAGAACACAGACTATAGTTAACGTGTATAAGAAACAAAATATGAAACTAGGGGCATATCTGACCTTGCTTTTGTGAAACTAATACATCTGTATGGTTGTATGGAAGTGGCTGCAGTTCTTAGTTAGCATTTCAGACTGATGAAACTTTATGTTTTTTAAAGAAAAATGAGTCACCATCACTGGATGTGTTTAAAAACCATTTGGATGTGGTGCTCAGAGACATGATTTAATACAGGGTTAGTAGGGTAGTATGATTAGGTTGTGGTTGGTCTCGACGATCTTCAAGGTCTTTTCCAACCCAAGTGATTCTATGAAAAGAAGTGCTCTTTCCATAAACCGCTTTCAAACACCTCTGAGTTTATACCCATGTTATACTATGTCCCATAGCCCAGGAACACACGTTAGCCCATCCATCGTTGTAGGAACTTATGTTCCACTACAATTTGCCTAATTCTGGGCTTCAGCATTTTGCTGTAAAGCAGCAGGAACCCATGCACCATCCCCGCCTTTGTCCAGCCTGCAGCACAGAGCTGCACCCCACTCACCGCCTCCACCTCGGCGGGGTCATACCAGACATTGATGTATGGGTGCTGCAGGGCCTCGTCCACCGATATGCGCTTGGCTGGATCGATGACCAGCATTTTGGACAGCAGGTCCCGAGCTTGGCTGGCTGCAGCATGGACAGCATGAAAACACTGTGATTGGCAACCACACTTATTGCCCTCACCTGGGTTATAGGAAAATCAGAGCCCTATATGCATGGTGAGCTCTGTGATTTGCCACGATGGATTTTACCTGAAGATAACAGGTGCCTATCAGAACAGGCTCAGCTTTCCATAATCTTTTCTTTACTTTTTTTTTTCCCTTCTTTTTTAAAATCATTATTGTTTTCTGGAGTTTTTAATAAAGACTGCCTAAACTCATGTGAAAAACACCAGCAATTCTTACTCCTAGCAGCATTTTTCCAGGAATCCCACACTCAGAATTATTTACTCTGTAGCACACTACAGAAAACATGAAAGAAAAAACAAACATAAAGAAGAACATCGTATAAAGTGTAACTTATCAGTTCTCTCATCTGATAGTAAAAGCAGTATCAAAGGGAACTGCCAGTATTATTCAGAGAATTACTGAAGCAAGATGGGTTGATATAGTGATGCAGAAGCAGAATTTAAGGCACTGTTTCTTCTGTTCTGACACTGCATCCTGAAAGTGGCACTAACTGGCTCAAATGAATGCACTTCTTGCATCCAAAATCACAACATGGTTTGACAATCATTTCTTTCATTAGTTCCAAATCCAATTCATTATCCAAATTTGTTGGAGGAGGAGTACAGAATTCTGCATGTCCCAAGGTGTTTTCTCAGACCTTTTTCTTTGCTCTCACAGTAGCCATTCTATGAAGCAGCTGTTAACTGAAGAGTAATAATTCTGGGTAATGTGCTGGCATGCGCCTTGCAAGCAGCTGAGAGCCATTAAGGGTCACCCCTGTAAGCACCCAGCAGAACTGAGGAGATGCAAGACAGATGCTCAGCATGTTTGTTCCAGATTTGCAATGAGAAGTTCTTTTGATGCCAAACATACATTAATCACTCTTTCTAGTTGAAGATCTAAGTCCTGCTGAGCTAAACAGTGGCTTCAACACATGATTGAAGTCATTGCTAAACATGTCACTGTATGTACCATGGAGTAGTATATCCAGTAACATCATCATCAAGTCTTCTTGACTGAATGTATTAAATAGGCGTGCAACAACAGAGAAGAAAAAGTAGAAGAAACCTCCCTTGCATAGTGGCTGATGACAAGCAAATATGGTACATACCTTTGAGCTTGTTGTGTTCTGAGTCAGCTGGAAAGAGAGAATCAGGAAACAGTTTGGGGAAGGTGAGGCCAGCGTACTTGGGCCGGTTCTCCACGTAGTTTCGTACAGTTGGCTGCAGCTTCTTCATGAACTCTGGGCAGGGCGTTCCCAACTGCTCTATGACTTTATTCCACTGGTCAATATCTGGACATTGGGAGTTAAGGAAAACCCAACACAAGCCCCAGACCCCAATCCTCCTGTATGACCATTACCTGGAAATCCCCAGAGGTTCCCATTCCCTCCAGCCTTTGCAGATGCACTCTTTTCCATTATTATGCCCCTGGGTCCTCCTGCCCACCAAGGACACAGATTTCTCACATGTCTGTATTATCTATAAGCATTGCACACACCCAAACCCAACCACAGGTGTGGGAGTGACAGGTAGGAAACAGGTTTTCGTGCTTAAAAAGAAATCTTATTACAAGCAATTTGTATTGAACTCTTCAGTTTTCTCCTTCAGATTTTGTTTCCTTGAGCCAATCACTACACATGAGATAGATGACCTGTGGTTCTTGCAGCCATGCTCAGAACAGAATTTACTGTGCCTAAAAAAAAGTTAAGTGTATGACCAGAAAAACAGCACCACTTCTACATCATGCTAATTCATAGTGCTAAGAATTTGATGACAGGATAAAAAAGAAAGTGTGGGGGGAGAAGCACATGCAGACGTGGGAACATTTACACTACGAAATGTGATCGGTGCTTTGGAAGCACCTACAGGGAATAAGCTTTTATGAGATAACATCCACAGCTTTTCAGCACAGGAATGGTGTTTGTATTGCTCGTGTATGTTACTGTTGTCATAACAGTGGAGGAGTCAGACAAATACAAAACACACTTCCACACAATCCAGGAGAAAAAGTGAGCCCACAGAATGAGAGTAACAGAAAACACATACCAGTGGGCAAAAAGTAGACTGCTGGTGCAGCAGCTGTTCAGATCTTCAGGGAAATGGAAATGGAAACCAGGGATTCTCACGTGATTTGAAAACTCAGCAGAGACTTAGTTGGCCTCTCCTGAAATGTCTTTTTTGAGCACTAAATAAATAAATACATAAATCAATAAAATAACACATTTAAAATTACAGCCTAATAAAAAGTATTTAAAAGAATAAAACATATTTTAAACACCTTTTCCTAAACAAAAAACTGAAGATTTTGGGGCTGTAAGCTGATCAAGGAGTACCCTGCTTTTCATAAAGAATGTGAATAGAAGATCAAGGGTGACAGTATGGTTTGAGGATGGAGGCCTTTCTGGGGAGCACCCAGCTTTGGCAGACTGAAAAAGACAAGTTTTGGTCACAGGAACTGGTTCTGTGTAACCAAGTGATCTATGGGTACCATTGAGCCTTTTCACCATGGTCTATATATCAATCACCTCGGATGTCCCCTACCCAAACACAGGACTGAGGAAAACACACCAGCTATGCGCACAGCAACTGTACTGAGGAGAGAGGGTGGTCCAGGCCCAGGTTTATTGGCTGATGGCAACACCAACCAACAAAATTACTAATGGAAAAAAATAGTATGCTGAATGCACAGTAAAGAATTTGTATTAAAAGAACCCACAACACTCTGTTTTTGCAGTGAAGCCAACTATTGAGATGTACAGGCTAAAAGTTCATCATTTTTGCTCCTGTTCCCTCTGATGCAATTGTAAATTGCAATTTACAAGAACCGCATTTTGTTCCTTCAGCTGCACTGAAGCCTTGAGTTCCATTACATTCCTGCAATTATGCAAAAAATAAGGAAATACAGCTTAGCTATGAGAGAAAATTTACAGTACTTCACCATAAAAATAATAACAATAATAAATTCTACAGAAAGAACTCCTGCAGTTGCACAACAACAACAACAAAAAAAAGCTAGTGATTAAAGAAAGAAATGTAGAAATCATTGCCCTTGTGCTTAAGGATCTAAGCTAGGATCAAAATACAAATATTTTTTCTCTTCTAATATTTTGACTACATGAATGATAGTTTTTTAGTCAATAATTATATTTTCTTAAGTTCAACAAGACTGTGTAGGAGATACTGTTTGCAATAGGATGATGATGATGCTCTATAATACACTAACATTTAGCCCCTCATTCTTCCCTGAGAGTGCTCAGCTGTTTAACTGTCAGCAGTTAATTAGCATTTGTTTATTTTCCTGAAAAAGGTGAGAAGAGGGAGGAATAAAAGACTCCTGCTGCAAATCCAATGGCCAAGCCATGCCCAGAGACCAAGCACTGCTATTCCACATTACTTCTAAGTGTAACTCTGATAACAGTGTCTCTTTCCCAAATCCTCCTCAAACAGCAGCTGAAGACTGTATGTGTGAACCCTATTATTTGGTTATTTCACCAAAATGCCTGCATTTATCAGGATGGCAGAACATCATGTTTTCCTGACCAACAGACTGGAATCTTCACCTCTTATGCACACACTCCACTGGTCTCACTGCATCAGAGCAGGATTTGCACCTTCTGTCTTAACACATATCTTCTGGAGTCGGGTAGAACAGGAGAATGTCAAATCTCACTTTTATATTTAAGGAGAATGTCAAATCTCACTTTCATATTTAAATGTAAGCACCACGAACATGACCTGGTCATGGCATTCTTCCCTCATAACAGAAAGAGAGGGTGAATTTATCTTATCATCACCTCAGGACCTTAAAGGATGACCCTTCTGGGAGTTTTCTCCTTGAAAGTGTATTTTCCATCAATGAAAACTGACCGCATTTTTTAATCCCAATTTTTGATGTACCCAACTTGTTGAATTACTGTGAGCAGCTCTGCATTCCTCACCCTAACACCAAACTGTACAAACTGCTACATGGTTGGCTCAAACCAAGTCCAGTTTTGACATTAGATCTCTCTTTCTCTCTCCCCCCCACTCAGAAAAACACCCAACCCCCAATGCTGCAGGAGTCATCTGTGCAAGACAAGTTTATTTTTCCTCATGGTACCATAGTTTACATACTGATGTCAGCACAATTTACAATAAACACAGAAGAAATACAAAATGGTAACATTTGACAAGACGAAAATGTGGAATATTTTCTGTGACAAGGGGATTGCTTTGAGAAGAAGGGGGCATTTGGAAAAACTAAACCACAAAAATATTTTGCCACATAAGCAGTGACAGTATATGTGGTATTGTAGAATGTGTGAATATAAAAACCACACTTATCACATACAAAAGCGATTTCAAAAAATGACCACTGATCATCTGTTAGAAGACAGTGGTGATGGCTGTGCAGCTGCCACCAACCCTTAAGATGGAGATGTACGACAGTGCCTTAGTTAAAATTTTCTACTGTACTTTTATTTTTTAGCTAGCAACTTCATTCAGTTACAGAGCATCTTTGCTTATGCAGCAGAAAGCTGCAATGCTGAGTGGACAGACCAGATGTTACAGCATAGGACTGAATCTTTCTCTTGGATAAATCTTACCACTTCCCTCATGGACTTCTCATCACTGCAGCATCTACTTGTACTTATCCAGGCTGTGCCCAAGTTCCTATCCTGGATGTGACACATTTCTGTTCTTGTGACGGATGCATGGTGATGGTGTCCCTCAGGGAGAAGGAGCAGTACGAACACTGTGAAAATCAATATGATGTGCAACAAACAGACTGCAGTTGTAGCATGAGACTCTGTAAGTGACATCTTGTGTGGCCACCTCTGGCATTTGTTCATCACATCACATGAATTTTACATCTCTTTACTGAGTGGTTTGTATCTCCCTGTAAACATTCCCAACTATTCAATTTAAAGCACATTCTTCCTTACGTGCCCCATATGCATTCAGCAGGTAAAAAAAACACACGCACCTCAATATGCCTCACCAGATACACAGCTCACCAGATACAAAGGACCCAAGACAACTCCTTAACTCCCTCTTCAGGTAATTCATGTAGTGCTGAGGGAAGAAAAACACAGCTCTGAGCAAAACGTATGGAATAGGTGTCCACTTTCAGGCCCAGCAGCTTCCCATGCTGCTCCCAAGGCAACACAATCAATCATGCTGCCCTTCTCTCCTTGCTTGAGGCAAAAGCATAATCTAGCTTCCTGAGAACAGTTTGTCTGTAAGCAAAACTAAGCAGTAGCTCTCAATCTTGAAATATTGTGAAAGAAGGGAGAAAGGAGCTTTAAGTCATTTTAAACTCCATCACGTCCATGCAGCAGAAGTAGTCGAGAAATCTTACATTTCCAGGGTTCAGGCAAGGCCTAAGGGACTTCTGGCATTGCAAAGCATTTCTTCAGAACTGGAGTTTCAAAGAAGAACAGCAACTGAGTTCTGCTCTCAGCTCCACCATCCAAATTGAATTCAGGGAATTCAAAGATACTCCATGAGTGGAGCAGAGCCATACCTGAACCAAGCACTCCATTCTGCTTTAACACCATAATATTTTCTGCTTGTGAATCTTCCACAACCACCTGAGATCTCTGCGTGTCATTATGTGTTTTCATTCAGCTGCATGGACCATTTTGATCAGGAAACAGAAATGATGCGGAATGCTCTATAACACTTAACCGCTGGGAGAAGGCAAACAATATTGCTGTCAGCATTTGTAACCACACTACTGCAGAGATGCCAGTGATGTTGCATGCAGTCATGATGCACCATGGCCCTGGCACCCTGCTGGCTGACTAGTGGTGGCAGCAGCCCTCTTCCTATGGTGCTGGAACACAGAGAAAAGCAGAGCAAAGCATAAAGCACAGTGCGAATTCAGCAGCGTGTTCTAAGTACAAATGAAGAACATCAGCCCATTTACAGAACAATCCCAAATGTATCAGCAGCTGCTTGTGCTGATTTCAGACGGGTTGCTTCAGTAAGAAACACTCCGTAATGGTTTAATTATGGAGGCTTTTTGTGAGTTCTTTTGAGTAATTCTGCAGCTGCATAAAAGCAAGCAATTTTAAAGCACTGTGTAGGACACAGCCAATTTGCCAACATTGTGAAGTTCATCGAGGCCACAGGTGCAAGGTCCTACACCTGGGTTGGGGCAATCCCAAGCACAGGTACAGGTCAGGTGGAGAATAGCTTGACACCACTCTTCAAGAGAAGGATTTGGGAGTGTCAGTTGATGAAAGACTTAACGTGAGCCAGCAGTGTATGGCTTGCAGCCCAGAATGCCAACCATATCCTCGTTGAT